ATCAGGGAATTGAACCACGACTGCCTTGGTGAAAAGTGAGTGCACTATCCACTGCACCACCCAAACCCACATGTAACTTTTTAAATCCATGTTCAGTAATTAATAGCATTTGTTTATCTTTTAAGGGGGTTGGGAGGATACAGAGATGTTTCAGTACCTGTAGGCCTATTAGATGCCCATTTCTAGCTACTGGACCCATACAAAATAAATACCCTGAAAAATTATGTATCAATCCCTGGAAAATTAAGAAAAAGAAACTGTCATCAGAATCTGAAATGTTTATGCACATAAGTTTCCAGAACAACTTTAAATTGGGCCAACGTCATTAATGCATATATTTTATCATGTCAATTCATCATCACATGCATTCTTTTCAAGTAAAAGAATGCAATCATATTTTTGTGTTTTGTTGTCTACTTTGTAAAAATGCCATAACAAAGGCACAGGTAGCAGGCCATGTGGAAAGCCTGTAAAAACATTAGGCCTACAGATATTAAAGCTGACAAGGCCCTAGAATAGTCATCTTGATTTTGGATACACATAATTTAAATGGTATGCATAGGATACATACCTTCTAAAATTTTAGTCTTTAAAGTTACTACCAGTTCTTGCATCTTCATGCCCTCGGGTTTGTAAATACAGAAGAGCCCATGTAAATTTCTAAAAGCGTGCTCCCCAGATTTGAATTTGAAAGCCATGGTAGGTCGGTGGACAGCAACAGACTTGACAGCGGTACGATCAACCAGAAGTCATCTTGTACTGAAAATGTAAAATACAGACTTGTGATCACTTTCCTTCTCAAAAAAACGTAAACATAAATCCTAATGTAGGAGATCGTGTCAGTGGATACTACGTTTTCAGCGTCCGTGTTTATAACTATTATAGCTATAAACAGAATTCAGAACGATGTTTTGGACTACATGTGTTTGTCTCCTGCTCTTCGAAAGAGCGACCACAAGGGAGGTAAATATGCATGGTAATATGGATTATTTCCCTTCAGTTTGGCGCAAACAATAAATGTAACAATTTCGGGTATAAATCCTGGAGGACTTGCAAATGTTCATGCAGGCCTAGCAAGGCTTTACCAAGGCTCGCCTGAAAGTAGCATCAGATTACTAGGTCCAACCTTATTTAATAAACGAACAACTGTGGTCCGACCGATTTGACCGTTAACTCGTACTGTACATCTCTGTAAAGCAAAACATCATAAAAAAAATGTATTTTTCAAAAAAATTATGTTTTGTATTAAACATACAGTTCTGTATTATTCCGTGAGATCGTTTTGTATATATATTATAGAGGTTATTAGATTATTTGTGACATCCCCCCCCCCTTAACTTCTACTGAAGAATTCCGTGCTGCCTGAAGTCAGAACAACTTTTTCTTATAAAATACAATGTTTCCCATATGAATACATTTTCTGTATAAAAAGAAATTTCAAAACAATTTGAATTATAAACCATTTTACCCAGCTAAATAAATATTAATTCAGTTAAAATCTACAGAATTTAGAATTTTAATTTACTTAATCAATATTTACGTCTCCACATATATATAAACTATATATAAACTTTTATTCCGTCTGAGGGAAAAAAATAGGATATATTTTTATTATACCTAAGATTGTGTATACTTCGACACCGTGTATATATATATAGCCATTAACATTGTTCACGGGGCATAAAAATCATCTACACTCAGAATAAATGCGCTTTTTTTTGTCATTATAAAGAAATTTTGTAGGACTGACACATGAAAGGACTATTTTAAAAAGACAGAACATATTTGATATCTACCGTACCAAGGAATTAGAATTTGCTATCTAAATCCTAAATCCGTGATCATACCAATAAAGACAAATCATCGTAAGAAACAAAGATTCACGTGAAGGACCTATGCTAAAAAGGCACAGAAAATTGCAATTTGCTGTCATTAAAATCCGATTACAAATTACAACGGTATAACTACGGCAACATTAGAGTATATATTATCGAATTTTTTTTTAATTAGGATATACTTTTGATTAGACTGGAATTAGCAATTGCATCATTATATGTACAATCTAATTGAAATTAGACTTGTAATTCCGCTTCTCATAGGCTTTCCATTGATGTCTTACCTATGAGATACCTATGAGATGTTCTACGATACAATACAATATTTGTATCGAAGACGATGCTCTACGATACACTACAATACTTGTATCGTAGACGATGCTCTACGAGACATTACAATACTTGTATTGAAGACGATGCTCTACGATACACTACAATACTTGTATCGAAGACGATGCTCTACGATACACTCCAATAATTGTATCGAAGACGATGCTCTACTATACACCCCGATACTTGCATCGTAGACGATGCTCTACGATACACCCCGATACTTGCATCGTAGACGATGCTCTACGATACACCCCGATACTTGCATCGTAGACGATTCTTTACGATACACCCCGATACTTGTATCGTAGACGATTCTCTACGATACACCGCGATACTTGCATCGTAGACGATGCTCTACGATACACCCCGATACTTGCATCGTAGACGATGCTCTACGATACACCCCGATACTTGCACCGTAGACGATGTTCTACGATACACCCCGATACTTGTATCGTAAACGATTCTCTACGATACACCCCGATACTTGCATCGTATACGATGCTCTACGATACACTACAATACTTGTATCATAGACGATGCTCTATACGATACACTACAATACTTGTATCGTAGGTGGAACGTCGTCAGTCCGGATACTTTTGTCTGTGCATGTTTTGCACAAAGGCACTCGACAGTCCGGAATCTTATATTTGTGTGGTCAGTGGACCTACGTTGTAGTAAATCTGATACTTTGGTGTGTGTCTACAATGGAACTTCGTCAGCCTGGACCTCCGAACAATTTGGTTTGAGTGTACACTGGAAACTCGTTAGTCCGAACCCATTTGGTTTATGTGTACACTGGAACCTCGTTAGTCCGGACAATTTGGTTTGAGTGTACATTGGAACTTCGTTAGTCCGGGCAATTTATTTTGTGTGTACACTGGAACCTCGTTAGTCCGGGCAATTTATTTTGTGTGTACACTGGAAACTCGTTAGTCTGGACAATTTGGCTTATATGCACACTTGAACCTCGTCAGTCGGGACAATTTGGTTGTGTGTACACTGGAACCTCGTTAGTCCGGAAAATTCGTTTTGTAATACACTGAAACCTTGTCTATCTCACTAAATGTCATACAATAGCAAGCCATCACAGCTGGTCACATGTTGTCTTCACAACGAACTAACACCAAATGAACCTTGGGTTACGTCAAGTGAAAAAAAGGGGGTCCCAAGTGTAACAACAGTGAATAGAGAGAAAGAGAAAATATTAACTTTATTTACTTTACAACAACTATGAAACAAGTTGTTACAACCTACATTGGTCACTCTTGCTGACCAGATGTTAGCCCAAGTTTCCTGGTGTCAATACGGAGGAAACTCGGGCTAGTCCAGATGTTAGCGCGCTAGGGGTTTTAATGTTGGAGGGAACCGGAGTACCCGGAGAAAACCCATGTGGATGGGCTGACCTTTTCAAGTCCGATCGAGGGATCGAACCCCGGCCGCCTTGGTAAAAGTGGTGACTGTGCGGGAGGGGGTGGAGTGGGGATGCAGCAGATTAAAGTTTGATTCTTTTTTTCTCCTTAGGGGAGACGGCACAGAAAAAAAATTCAATTCATTAAGGAGTCCTAAAATGACGAAGTATATGTACTTCTACAGATACCTGAATAGGAATTGAATGTAACTGCACTAAATGTAAATAAGTTCGAAATTTTCTGTCGTTGAAAATGTCTTTTAAATGCCTGAAAAAATCTGCATACAATTATGTTCAAGGTTTTTAGAATCAAGCGCTATTGTTATGTTCGTGGTACGGGGTCATTGCTGGGTTTCGTCAGTACTTACAGCTTAGTGCTATGTTTTAGCTTCCAGATACAGCCACCAGTGCAACCAAATTAAAAAAATCTAAATACGTTATATTGTAACTAGTACTGCATGCGTACATTGAAAAATATTCTGTTTAAAGATTCTTGTAACACTGCCCAAAACTGTATAACTATTCACTGAAAATGAAGATTTTGCCGGTCTTTCGATGAAGCATTTCTGAAAAGAAAATCATATCTTGCGTCAGCTGACGACTTTCATGAAAAATAATAGAGTTGAAAAAATAAATAAAAAAACAGAATCAGCACCAGTGTTCCGAGTACAAAAAAAACTGGATTACAGCGTGTAAAACATTTCACTACTACTCTCACCGATTACACTACTTGGTTTAACGTAACGTTAAGCGTCCTGGCCCGGCTGTTCTACAGTTATTGGGAGAAGACTGTATATGAGAAACTCTCAATGCAATTAATGGGATAGACAGGCATCCTTAAACTAAACTCAGTTCAAACGATTGGCGTAATAATGAAAGTTTTGCACTAAGCATGATACCATCGTCAGTAGCTGTCAGACATACAACATTTACCCACCATTCTAGCTATGTGTTCATCGGATACATGGGGTTTAATTATTGCGAATGTATTGAATGTACGCGTCGCGACAAAGGATTTTTTTTAAAGAAGTCCACGCTAAGAAATCACGTGTTCCTGTTCCTAGTACAGCTTACAACCAACCGTGGTTGAATTTGGAAGCGTATTGAATGCAATGAAAACGTCCTGCTCGTACTTTATTTAGCCATTTTTACTAAATAACAAAAAATAGAATCCTGCGAATTAGCAAAAGCTCGTATTTATTTATCTTTTAAGTTAAATTTGAAAACTTACTTTTCACAGTAAAAGTGTAGTCTACAACATTTTATCCAGGAAGTTTTTCTGCTGTACACCGGTCGCAGTAATAATTCGGGTTAGAGATAAGTCGTTTTATCAGTGGTATACGCTTTGAGACCGACTATCAATCTGATTATAATCTGAACGATGAGAGATTCAGTGACACAACTTATCTTTATCTTACTGATGTAACAGGCTACCCGGAACTATATATATATATATATATATGTCTGGGCTTATAGATTTACATTGGGAACTCAATATCTCGATGTATACACACGTATATAAATGTATGCATATATGCGTCACGGTTAAGAAACCCACACAATGTATAACAAGTATAACAGTCGTCCTAAATTTAGCCAAGACATTTAACTTCCTGGTACAAGAATTCAGTTAGCTTAGTTCCAGTTTAACTTGTATCAATGGTGGATTAACATGAAAATATCTCGTGTGTCGATATTTCTCGTCTCGTGTCCTGTTCTACAGATGTTCACATCAGGATAAGGTAAGTGAATTTGTCAAGGTATATATGTTTATAACTGTTTATTTTTAACATTACAGACAGGTTGTCTTATTCGGGTCACGTCTGTTTACATTGGGTAACGTCACTTACGTACCAAATCACTGCCTGTCTCAGGAACAGATAGAAAGCCGATAAAGGTTTAAATAGAACAAAATGACAAAAAAATAAACGCTCGTTTATCCGGAGTTAAGAAGGATTGGCACCCTGTGAAAATAGCTTTAAACCTTATCAATTAACGAGTATGACTCAAATCAGTAATAAAACACTAGTGTAGGGCGTTTAGGGGAGGAGTGGAGAGGAGCTAGGGTAGAGGACGTGTAGGAGAGGAGTGGAGAGGATCTAGGATAGAGGACGTGTAGGAGAGGAGTGGATAGGAGCTAGGGTAGAGGACGTGTAGGGGAGGAGTACAGAGGAGCTAGGGTAGGGGACGTGTAGGGGAGGAGTGGAGAAGAGCTAGGGTAGGGGACGTGTAGGGGACATATAAGGTAGAGGACGTGTAGGGGGGCATGAGGCATAGGGTAGGGGACGTGTAGGGGACATATAAGGGAGAGGACGTGTAGGGGACATGTAGGGTATGGGACGTGTAGGGGGCATGTAGGGTAGAACATGTAGGGGAGGGGACATGTAGGAGGAGCTAGGGTAGAGGACGTGTGGGGGAGGAGTACAGAGGAGCAAGAGTAGAGGACGTGTAGGGGAGGATTAAAGAGGAGCTAGGGTAGGGGACGTGTAGGAGAGGAGTGGATAGGAGCTAGGGTAGAGGACGTTTAGAGGAGGAGTGGAGAGGAGCTAGGGAAGGGGACGTGTAGGGGAGGAGCAGAGAGGAACTAGGGTAGAGGACGTGTAGGAGCGGAGTGGAGAGGATCTAGGATAGAGGGCGTGTAGGAGAGGAGTGGATAGGAGCTAGGGTAGGGGACGTGAAGGGGAGGAGTGGAGAGGAGCTGGTAGAGGACGTGTATGAGAGGAGCAGAGAGGGGCTAGGGTAGAGGACGTTTAGAGGAGGAGTGGAGAGGAGCTAGGATATGGGACGTGTAGGGGAGGAGTAGAGAGGAGTTAGGGTAGGGGACATGTAGGGGATGAGTGGAGAGGAGCTAGGGAAGGGGACGTGTAGGGGAGGAGCAGAGAGGAACTAGGGAAGAGGACGTGTAGGGGAGGAGTACAGAGGAGCTAGGGTAGGGGACGTGTAGGAGAGGAGTGGAGAGGATCTAGGATAGAGGGCGTGTAGGAGAGGAGTGGATAGGAGCTAGGGTAGGGGACGTGCAGGGGAGGAGTGGAGAGGAGCTAGGGTAGGGGACGTGTAGGAGAGGAGTGGAGAGGATCTAGGATAGAGGGCGTGTAGGAGAGGAGTGGATAGGAGCTAGGGCAGAGGACGTGTATGAGAGGAGCAGAGAGGAGCTAGGGTAGAGGACGTTTAGAGGAGGCGTGGAGAGGAGCTAGGGTAGGGGACGTGTAGGGGAGGAGTAGAGAGGAGCTAGGGTAGGGGACATGTAGGGGGGGGGACGTGTAGGGGAGGAGTGGGGAGGAGCTAGGGTAGGGGACATGTAGGGAAAGAGCAGAGAGGAGCGAGGGTAGGGGGCGTGTAGGGGAGGAGTACAGAGGAGCTAGGGAAGGGGACATGTAGGGGAGGGGACGTGTAGGGGAGGGGTGGAGAGGAGCTAGGGTAGGGGACGTGTAGGGAAGGAGTGGAGGGGAGCTAGGGTAGGGGACGTGTAGGGGAAGGGACGTGTAGGGGAGGGGTTGAGGGGAGCTAGGGTAGGGGACGTGTAGGGGAAGAGTGGAGAGGAGCTAGGATAGGGGACGTGTAGAGGAGGAGTACAGAGGAGCTAGGGTAGGGGACAGGTAGGGGAGGGGACGTGTAGGGGAGGAGTTGAGAGGAGCTAGGGTAGGGGACGTGTAGGGGGGGAGCAGAGAGGAGCTAGGGTAGAGGACGTTTAGAGGAGGCGTGGAGAGGAGCTAGGGTAGGGGACTTGGAGGGGAGGAGCAGAGAGGAGCTAGGGTAGTGGACGTGTAGGGGAGGAGCAGAGAGGAGCTAGGGTAGTGGACGTGTAGGGGAGGAGCAGAGAGGAGCTAGGGTAGGGGACGTGTAGGGAAGGAGTGGAGGGGAGCTAGGGTAGGGGACGTGTAGGGGAGGAGTGGAGAGGCGCTAGGGTAGGGGACATGTAGGGGAGGAGTACAGAGGAGCTAGGGAAGGGGACATGTAGGGGAGGAGTAGAGAGGAGTTAGGTCAGGGGACATGTAGGGGAGGAGTGGAGAGGAGCTAGGGAAGGGGACGGGTGAGGGGAGGAGCAGCGAGGAGCTAGGGTAGAGGACGTGTAGGGGAGGAGTAGAGAGGAGCTAGGGAAGGGGACATGTAGGGAAAGAGCAGAGAGGAGCTAGGGGAGGGGACGTGTAGGGGAGGGGACATGTAGGGGAGGAGTGGAAGGACGTGTAGGGGAGGAGCTAGGGTAGAGGACGTGTAGGAGAGGAGTAGAGAGGAGCTAGGGTAGGGGAAGTGTAGGGGAGGAGTGGAGAGGAGCTAGGGGAGGGACGTGTAGGGGAGGAGTGGAGAGGGGCTAGGGTAGGGGACATGTAGGGGAGGGGCCGTGTAGGGGAGGAGTGGAGAGGAGCTAGGATAGGGGACGTGTAGGGGAGGAGTTCAGAGGAGCTAGGGTAGGGGACATGTAGGGGAGGAGAGGAGAGGAGCTAGGGTAGGGGAGAGGTAGGGGAAGGGACGTGTAGGGGAGGAGTGGAGATGAGCTAGGATAGGGGACGTGTAGGGGAGGAGTGGAGAGGCGCTAGGGTAGGGGACATGTAGGGGAGGAGCAGAGAGGAACTAGGGTAGGGGACGTGTAGGGGAGGAGTAGAGACGAGCTAGGGGAGGGGACGTGTAGGGGAGGATTGGAGAGGAACTAGGGTAGGGGACATGTAGGGGAGGAGTATAGAGGAGCTAGGGTAGGGGACATGTAGGGTAGAGGACGTGTATGAGAGGAGCAGAGAGGAGCTAGGGTAGAGGACGTTTAGAGGAGGCGTGGAGAGGAGCTAGGGAAGGGGACGTGTGAGGGGAGGAGCAGCGAGGAGCTAGGGTAGAGGACGTGTAGGGGAAGAGGAGAGAGGAGCTAGGGTAGGGGACGTGTAGGGGGGGAGCAGAGAGGAGCTAGGGTAGAGGACGTTTAGAGGAGGCGTGGAGAGGAGCTAGGGAAGGGGACGTGTGAGGGGAGGAGCAGCGAGGAGCTAGGGTAGAGGACGTGTAGGGGAGGAGGACAGAGGAGCTAGGGTAGGGGACATGTAGGGGGGGGGACGTGTAGGGGAGGAGTGGGGAGGAGCTAGGGTAGGGGACATGTAGGGGGGGGGACGTGTAGGGGAGGAGTGGGGAGGAGCTAGGGTAGGGGACATGTAGGGGGGGGGACGTGTAGGGGAGGAGTGGGGAGGAGCTAGGGTAGGGGACATGTAGGGGGGGGGACGTGTAGGGGAGGAGTGGGGAGGAGCTAGGGTAGGGGACATGTAGGGGGGGGGACGTGTAGGGGAGGAGTGGGGAGGAGCTAGGGTAGGGGACATGTAGGGGGGGGGACGTGTAGGGGAGGAGTGGGGAGGAGCTAGGGTAGGGGACATGTAGGGGAGGAATAGAGAGGAGCTAGGGTAGGGGACGTGTAGGGAAGGAGTGGAGGGGAGCTAGGGTAGGGGACATGTAGGGGAGGAGTACAGAGGAGCTAGGGGAGGGGACATGTAGTGGAGGGGACATGTAGGGGAGGAGTATAGAGGAGCTAGGGTAGGGGACATGTAGGGTAGAGGACGTGTATGAGAGGAGCAGAGAGGAGCTAGGGTAGAGGACGTGTAGGGGAAGAGGAGAGAGGAGCTAGGGTAGGGGACGTGTAGGGAAGGAGTGGAGGGGAGCTAGGGTAGGGGACGTGTAGGGGAAGGGACGTGTAGGGGAGGGGTTGAGGGGAGCTAGGGTAGGGGACGTGTAGGGGAAGGGACGTGTAGGGGAGGAGTGGAGATGAGCTAGGATAGGGGACGTGTAGGGGAGGAGTACAGAGGTAGGGGAGGAGTGGAGAGGAGCTAGGGTAGGGGACATGGAGGGTAGGGGAGGAGTGGAGAGGAGCTAGGGTAGGGGACATGTAGGGAAAGAGCAGAGAGGAGCTAGGAGGAGTGGAGAGGAGCTAGGGTAGGGGACATGGAGGGGGTAGGGGACATGTAGGGGAGGAGTAGAGAGGAGCTAGGGTAGGGAACATGTAGGGGAGGGGACGTGTAGGGGAGGAGGGGAGAGGAGCTAGGGTAGGGGACGTGTAGGGAAGGAGTGGAGAGGAGCTAGGGTAGGGGACGTGTAGGGGAGGAGTAGAGACGAGCTAGGGGAGGGGACGTGTAGGGGAGGGGACATGTAGGGGAGGAGTGGAGAGGAGCTAGGTCAAGGGACATATAGGGGAAGAGTGGAGAGGAGCTAGAGGAGGGGACATGTAGGGGAGGGGACATGTAGGGGAGGAGAGGAGAGGAGCTAGGTCAGGGGACATGTAGGGGAGGAGTAGAGAGGAGTTAGGTCAGGGGACATGTAGGGGAGGAGTGGAGAGGAGCTAGGGGAGGGGACATGTAGGGGAGGAGTAGAGAGGAGCTAGGGGAGGGGACGTGTAGGGGAGGAGTGGAGAGGAGTTGGGGAGGGGACATGTAGGGGAGGAGTGGAGAGGAGCTAGGGGAGGGGACATGTAGGGGAGGAGTAGAGAGGAGCTAGGGGAGGGGACGTGTAGGGGAGGAGTGGAGAGGAGTTGGGGAGGGGACATGTAGGGGAGGAGTGGAGAGGAGCTAGGGGAGGGGACATGTAGGGGAGGAGTAGAGAGGAGCTAGGGGAGGGGACGTGTAGGGGAGGAGTGGAGAGGAGCTAGGGGAGGGGACATGTAGGGAAAGAGCAGAGAGGAGCTAGGGTAGGGGACGTGTAGGGGAGGAGTACAGAGGAGCTAGGGTAGGGGACATGTAGTGGAGGGGACATGTAGGGGAGGAGTAGAGAGGAGCTAGGGTAG